AATCATAGATGGTATCCGCTAAACACGAGACATAATCTGAACGAAAACCATTACCCCAACGCCATATCCGTGCAGGCTGAATACAACGAAGTGATAAATTTATTAGTCTGATACACAAAATCTGAGCCGATACTAAACATTTCAAGACATGGAATGCGATGCAAGTGGGCCTTGTTTCTGATAAAAATTCTATTCCGTCTTTACAGCCAAGGTTCCATGATCCAGCAGTTTCTCCGACGAACCAGCCAAAGGAGGGACCTCGGGCAATCAAACGATGGACCAATAATTGGAGAGTGAAAACTCTGGGAACCGAGGGGTGTATCTGCAAACAAGTGTGTAAATTCAGAATGGTACGACAAATTTCTTCGTTATTTGCATGAAATCCGCGGATTAACAATCCCTTTACGTGTGAGATAACGCGCACTGCTCCCAAAAAGGTCCAAGTGGTAGGTTTGATGAACAGCAAATTGCGAAGTTCAGCTTTTTGAGTGGCTGGCAGTTGTTTGATTTTTAGTTCAACGTGTCTAAATCCCATCACAGGAGTTTTAGAAAGATTAACTGTTCGATAGATCTGTGGGGCTGTGATCCAATTCTTAATCACACAGGGTATTGGTTTGTTGGAAAGTATGTGGCTAAGGTGAAGCAACTTGTATCGTAGAGGTGCTGCTTTCTGTTTTGCGGATTCCACGCCAGATAGCCAATTTTGCTCATGGCTCTCAGTGGCCACTCTGACAATTCCTATTGTACGATTTGGCTTCTGATGCCAGCCGCGGTCAGAAGGTGGCAAAGTTAGACCCGCGCAAGGATTCCGTATTGCTGAACAAAGAGACGGCACATTCTGAAGCTCTAAATCACTCACTCTACCCTTTGCAATAATGTCACAGGCTTCAAACTGAGGCCTGTACGCGGTTAAACCATAAGCCTGTATCTCCCGTGCAGAAAACCCCGTAGAAACCCAACGGGACTTGGCCATCTGTGTGACCGGTGTGGCAGCTGCTGCTTCTGCTGTAGCAGCTGCTGTCGCACACTGCACGGGTGTTGGACTGTCATCCGCGTATAGAGACATTTCTCAAAAGCGCTCTGTTTCAACTCTTGTATTACAGTTTCTCTTGAACACTGAGGGAACAAACTTAGCAACCATTCCTCTATCTCATGTGGGCCATTTTCACAAGCATTCACATTAAAATGATCAGTCCCTGTGCTCACACAGTTATAGTTACTGTCATCATAGCTGCCCACTTGGTTTTCTGCTGTGTCAACATCTAAAACACCACTTCTATAAGGTGACAACATGGGATCAGATGAATTGGCAGCTGGGGATAGACCAGATGACAAACAAGATGATATATGTTTTTCTGCTTGTATTTCCTCCTTGGCATCAGTAGTACTAGCCTTTAGTAGCCAAGTATTTAACAGTCCTGTGACTGGTGTAGATTTGTGTTCGCCCCCTGGCTGTTGTGTTTTTCTCCACGGTTCAATAAGTAACACACGTAGGGGTTCTTGAAAACCTAGGTTCTTAAGCAACACAGGGTTCCTCGTGCCAGTCACACTTGCGTGATTGTTCAGAGAGTGCGGCACTGTATTCACGGCCACCACTGACTTGAAGGTCAGTTTTGCTACCTCGGACAGGAGAGCACACCATGATGACTGATTGATCAAACCGTCCTGGCAAAATGTTGACAGTTGTAGTTGAATCTTGACATAACTAGACCACCTGAATAAGTTTGAGCCCTGTTCATTGTTCCAGGCGAATAATATAGATAAGCCAAGTTGCGCACAAGACAACCTGAAAGTTTTCTCTTCCTCTTCCAGATTATGTGATTTATAAAGCCGGTGCAGACAACAGGTGGGTAAAAAGGAGAGGACGTGTCCTGTTTCTCTGTGAACAAGGAATGCCTTGGTGAGATTCAGTTGTCTTTGATTGTCAATAATTTCTTCCATATACAAATGTCTGGGTGGTCTCTCACCCTTAAGACAAATGTCTCTTAATGAGCCCATTACATTTATTAGCACTCTCTGCATTTGACAGACAGTCTGCGTGTCAGCAGGTCTGCTGACACTGAAGGTACTAATCCAGTTTTCCAGCGTGTCCCATTCGCAGTTCAGAGTTGTGGCAATATGCATTGAGATATTTTTACCGTTTCCGACATCTTCTAAAAGGAGACAGTCGGGCATAGGCCACGTTACCTGTGCTGTTGGCTTGGATAAAATTCTCGTGAGCACTGACAAAAGTGTGTCTTCAATTTCCATTTTTGAAATCAAGAAATTTATCTTGAATGTAGTCATCTGACCTTTGGTGAACACTTTCATTCTACAAGCTGTATCAAAAACATGATGCTGTATTAGGAGTGCGCTACATGGCGAACAGACCTCCTGACATAAAAAGTGTTTAGTTAGACACTTGTGCAAAGGTAGAAAGTGTCTTTGACTGAAAGGCCGGAATCTTGGATTCCATGCGGAATGTCCTATGTGCAACTGTATATACCAGGGCACAGATATTTTCAGATATCTGAAACTTATAGCACTCTGATAATTCCACCATAGCTTCAAATATCTAGTACAGTCAAGTGGATCTAATGTGGACTCATCATTTCTTAATTGTGTGCTCACAAAGTTTGCAATTTGGAATTGCTCAGTCTCATTTTCAAAAAATGTGTAATGTTTGCTTCGCACAAGATCTAGGAATAGCATTATAAAAAACTGCTGATGCATAACTGCCAGATGTTGTAATCGCTTAAAGTCAGACTCTTCTTCCTCGGTTGTTTCAGTGGTGTGTGAAACATCAGAAGACAGGACAAACACTCGATTTTGTGTTGACACTGTGATACCTTTGCATAGATTACAATAGTGTGACACACTCTGTGGAAAGAAAGAACTCAGCCCAATGGGCCCCAGCAAGTTGTCAGGATGGTAGTAGAAGTCATTGTGTTTTCTTGGTACGATTGTCGACTGAACTGAACCTCCCAGCTGGAAGTCTGACAGATAGTTTATGATTTCATATGTTGAGGAAAACATGTCACCGCAGTGGTCCAGGGCGCCGGCGTGCAAGGCTGCAGCACATCGCTTCCATTTACATAGAACACTGGACTCCTCCATATTAGACCTAGAAAAACAGAAAGAGACAAACATGAGGAAACTCTGTTTCCCTACTCCTCTTACACATTACATAAAAAAATGGATAATTATAAAACTCATACACACACACACACACACACACACAATATAATCCCTAGCCGCACGCAGATGCAGTCTGCAGTCTGTTGCTGT